AATGAAACAGAATAGAGATTCTGGAAGCAAAACCTCAATTCCTTAACCAACTCATCTTCAACAAAGCCTCCACCAACAACCAATGGGGAGAGGAGAACCTATTCAGTAAATGGTGCTGGAAAACCTGACAGACTATATGCAAAAGACTGAAACAAGATCCCTACCTATCGCCATACACAAAAATTAACTCTAAATGAACCAAAGACCTAAATGTAAAGCTGCAAACTATAAGAATCCTAGAAGAAAATGTAGGAGACATCCTTACAGAAACTGGAATAGGCAATCAAGTCCTGACTAACTCTCCAAAAGCGAATGCCATAAAAGAGAAGATAGACAAGTGGGACCTCATCAAATCGAAAAGTTTCTACAAAGCAAAAGAAACCATCAAGAGAGTAGGGAGACAGCCCATGGAATGGGAAAAAATATTTGCCAACTGTATATCTGACAAAGGTCTGACATCTAGGATCTACAAGGAACTCAAACATGCCAAAAGGAAAAAATAAACAACCCTATTAAAAAATGGGCAAAAAATATAAATAGACACTTCCAGGAGAAGACATACAAGCAACCAACAGAGACATGAAAAAATGTTCAGCCTCAATAATCATCTAAGAAATGCAAACTAAAACCACACTGAGATACCACCTAACTCCAGTCAGGATGACCATCATCAGTAACTGTAAAAATAACAGATGCTGGAGAAGATGTGGGGAAAAGGGAACACTTTTACATTGTTGGTGGGAATGTAAACTAGTACAACCTCTGTGAAAAACAGTATGGTTATTTCTAAAAATTCTGAAATCTACCTTCCATAAGACCCAGCAAGCCCCCTTCTGGGAATATACCCAGAGAAACTCAAATCACTCTATAATAAAGATACCTGCACATACATGTTTATCGCAGCTTTATTCATAATAGCAAAAACATGAAACCAACAGTACTGCCCATCGAAAGTGGACTAGATAAAGAAAATGTGGTACATTTACACAATGGAATTTATGCAGCCATAAATTTTTAAAAAATTATGAACTTTTCAACAAATCTGAATGGAATTAGAGTCTATAATACTCAGTGATTTATCACAGAAACAAAGATCTGAGTACCACATGTACTCACTCATAAATAGGAAAAGATGAAGCTAAGTTATCCGTCCGTCTTCACAGATGACAAAATGATCCTATACCTTAAAAACTCAACAGAATCTGCCAAAAACCTCCATGCACAGATAAAGGACTTTGGCTAAGTCTCAGGGTATAAAATAAATGTACAAAAGACAGTTGCATTCTTATACACAAACAATAAACAGACAGAAACCCAAATAAAAAGCACAATCCCATTCACATTAGCCACACACAAAAAATGAAATACCTTGGCATCTTCCTAACCAAAGAAGTGAAAAACCTTTACAATGAAAACTACAAGCCACTGCTCAAAGAAATCCAAGAAGATATAAGGGAGCCTTGAACATTTATCATAATACCATAAGAAAGGGATTGGCAGTAGTGGGACACTGCCAGGGGAGCAGGGTCACATCACATCAATAAGGGTACCCACACTTTACCTGTATGATGATCATGTATGTACCTAATACTCATTTGTACTCCCACATTTTTTAAATTGAATAATTTTTTTAAAAAAGAATAACATGAGATGATATGATCACCACTGGAGAAACTGGGTCTCAAGAGCCAATTAATGGGCTCCTGAGGGAAGGAAAAATTTGAGATACAATTGACAAACTTCCCTGATAAAATCCCACTTTTGAAATCCCTAAGAGACTATATCCCTTAGGACAAATAAGTCTGGTTTCAAAGCAACCAGATAAGTCTTTGTTGTGCAGCAAATATGCCAGTTCTCTCCCCAGGTGTCTACTGGCTGCTGAGGATGCCTTGCCCTCCCCTCTGCAGCAAAAACAGATTATAAACCAGGCCTGGCAGATGTGTAAAGAGATGAGTTCAGAAGAGATATAGAGGTCAGCTGTTAGATGTGTCCTTGAAAGCGCCTTCTTTTGTCTGCTGTAAGAACACCAGACTTTCCAGTCACATGATTGGACAGGGGAGAATCATCTTTACTAGTAAGAGGGCTGGGAATTCAGGAAAGTGAGAGACATGAGAAAGGAGCCTCAGTAATACGTAAGCTCTGTCTTTATTAACCAGAATTTATACCCAGTCAGAACCAGATATTATGGGAACAGAGATGCTAGCGAAATGACAACTGAATAGGATTGACAAAGTGGCTGTTAGGAGCAGGGCTAAAAAATTTCAATTCTCCCCAATTTAGCACTCTTTGGTTCTTCCAGAGAGTGAATGATCAGCCACTGAGAAGCAAAAGCAACAAGATGAGTGAGCACACCGGATGGTGGGTTCATTCCTACTAGGTTTGCAAAGCCATTGGAATCCTCTACACGTTAGTCACCACACATTTCTTGCCTTTTTCACCTTCCTCATGGTTTCTTTGGTATCTGCGGTATTCTAACTCCTGCTACAAAGAAATTACTCACAGTTATTCTATGCCAAAAATGATCTATTCACAGGAACCTTTAAGTCAAGTATTAATGAGAATTCTAAATCTCTCTCACTTATATGTCATTACTTGCAATAATCAAGAACATTCTTCAAGGTATGACATTGTGTGATCTGGAAAGTAGCATATTTTGAAACTAATTTATGAATACATATTTTTAGCTAGAATACTTGTATTTAAAATATCTGTGATTGTACTCTGCACTTATGTTTTTCTGATATGCATTGCATGCCATCATTTTCACTTTGCCTCATTTAGGCCCAAATGATGATTGCCTTTCATTAACATAGAGGATCTAGAAAATAAATTAATAAATTAAGACCAAATCACTGACAAGAGAAACTTTTTTTTTTTTTTTAAGGATGTGGGGTACAATTCAGGGTTAGGTATACAAACGTTGATTATGCAGGTACCCTTGTTGATGAGGTGTGCCCCTCCCTTCCCTGGCAGTTCCCCTCAATTGTCAATCCTATCCCCTCCCTCCCCTGGCAGTTTTCCAGTACTGCCAGTCCTTTTCTTATAGTATTATGATAATTGTTCAAGGTCCACTTATGAGTGAGAACATATGGTTCTTTGTTACTGTGATAGATCACTGAGTATGATCGACTCTAAATCCATCCAAGTTGCTGCAAAGTCCATTTGTTTGTCCTTCTTTATTGATGCATAATATGCCATTGTGTATATATACCACATTTGTTTTATCCAGTCCAGCTTTGCTGAGAATGTTTTTGCTATTGTGAATAGAGCTGCAACAAACATATGTGTGTAGGTATCTTTTTTGTAGAATGATTTGAGTTCCTCTGGGTATAGTCCCTAGGGGAATTGCTGGGTCATATGGAAGGTCAATTTCTAGTTCTTTCAGAAAGGCAAGAGAATCTTTTCTTTTTCTTTTTTTTGAGTTGGAGTCTCACTCTGTCACCCAGACTGGAGTGCAATCACCGCTCCCGGCCACCGCAGCCTCGACCTGCTGGGCTCCGGCGATCCTTCCACCTCAGCCTTCCAAGTAGCTGGAACTACAGGCGTGTGCTACCACGCCAGGTTAATTTTTTTTTTATTATTTATTGTGGAAATGAGGGCTCACCAAGTTGCCCAGGCGGGTCTCGAACCTGCAGGCTCAGGCAATCCACTCACCCTCCCAAAGCGCGGGATTACAGGCTGAGCCACCAAACCCTGCTGACAAGAGAATCTTAAGGCCATTTCATTGGTTTCGTTTTGTCTGTCTCACAGTGAAAGTCAGACAGTGTCCCAAACTAAGTCTACCTCAAAAGAGGAAGTTTTCATGAGAGTCTCCCTTCATTTTCCAAACCAACTTCAACCTTCCACACCTACAATGGGATTTGAGCAACTGAGGGAATAAGGATCCTTGTCCACAGAGACATTTTATAGCTCCTATCTTTGTCCTTAGTGCCCAGAGATCTTTGCTTGGAAGCATATGACATTTGTGACCCTCTGCATCTATCTATAAACCAGAGGAATAGGAACCTTTTTAGAAATCCTGACACTAACAAAAATGTCAAAAATCATAAAATAATATACCAGATACAGTACTCACTTTTTCTACCTATAAATAGACCAAAATTTTATAGACTTTTTTTAACCCAACTGGTAAAAGATGGAACCAAACTGAGAGTTATAATGTAGCTATTTGAACATTCAAAGGTCCTGAAACAATAAACCCTAATGGAATGGATGGCACATTTGATATTTCTTGCCTGGGTTATCTTAAGATGCTAACACTGATAATTCCAAAACTCATCTAAAATAAAAGTAAAATGCATGAAGATTTAATTGTATTGTTTATTGCTTTTCTCCCTTTCCTCCTCTTGTGATTGTTAATATTTGTGTCTATAATAAAAAAGGTCATCATAATTGAAATTCCCTAACACTAAAAGCCTTTTAAATTTTATTTTATAGACAAAAATACATGAAGTTCATATCTCTATGCACATTCGTAGATACTGTCATTAACCTAATCCAAGCTGCTTATTGCATAACATCCTGTTGTTTGCTGTGAGAAAACTCTGAAAGAGAAATAAGACAGTTCAGACAATCTTCAGAAGTATAGTTAGATTACTGTGTATTTAATAAAATAATATAATCTAAGTAACACAGTGGGAAGCCACAGGAAAGGACAGTGTAAAGTCACAGAAAGTGACAGTGTGAGGTCACAGAAGAGACAGTGTGAAGTCACAGGAAGGGACAGTGCGAAGTCAGAGGAGAGTCAGTGTGAATCCATAGGAAGGGACAGTATCAAGTCATAGGAGTTGTGTGAAGTCAAAGGAAGAGACAACGTGAAGCCACAGGAATGGACAATGCAAAGTCACAGGAAAGGACAGTGTGAAGCTACAGAAAGGGACAGTGTAAAAAAAAATCTAAGAAATGTAGCAATCTCTTTTAAATAAATAAATTATCATTAAGGATTAGGGAATAAGGTCATTAGTGTAATTTTTTTTTTTCTTTTCTGCCCTTAGGAAGCCATGAATGTGTCAGGAGTCAACACAGTGACTGAATTCATACTCCTGAGTTTTTCTTGCCCCAGAGAGGTGCAGGTTCTCCTCTTCATGCTATTCTTCGTGTGCTACATCCTGACACTGATGGGAAATGGGGCCATCGTCTGTGCAGTGAAGCTAGATCACAGGCTCCATACCCCCATGTACATCTTGCTGGCCAACTTCTCCTTTCTGGAAATCTGTTACATCAACACCACTGTTCCCAATATGTTAGTGAACTTCCTATCTGAGACAAAAACCATCTCTTTTACAGCCTGTTTCCTCCAATTCTACTTCTTCTCAATGGGCACCACCGAGACCTTCTTACTACCCCTCATGGCTTGTGATCGATACATGGCTATCTGCCGGCCTCTCCACTATCCCACCATCATGAGCAGTCATCTCTGCGTGAACTTGGTGGCCCTCTACTGGGTAACAGCCTTCCTCTGCTATCCGATCCCTATATATTTTATCATACAACTCCCCTTTTGTGGCCGCAATACCATTGACCACTTTGTTTGTGACCCAGGTCCTCTTCTGGCTCTGTCCTGCATCCCTGCACCTGGAATTGAGCTTTCCTGTTCTATCGTGAGCTCACTTATGATATTCATCACCTTCTTCATCTTTGCATCCTACACGCTGGTTCTCAGAGCAGTGTTACGCATCCCTTCAGCAACTGGCAGATGTAAGGCCTTCTCCACCTGTGGTTCCCACCTAGTTGTGGTGTCTCTGTTCTATGGAACTCTCATGTTGATATATGTCAGACCAACCTCTGGAAATCTGACTGGAATACAGAAGACTGTAACCTTGTTCTACTCCTCAGTGACCCCACTTGTAAATCCACTAATCTACAGTCTCCGGAACAAGGACATGAAGGCTGCCTTGAGAAAAATTCCGATATGTACAAAAATGAATCAAAGTGAATGACGGCTCACAGGTCAGTCATAACCAGAATATTTCCTCCCCATTTCTATCCCTAATTTAAAAGTAGGCTTTTATCCATTTGCACCTAGAGATTCAGACTCATATTCATCAATTTCTGCCTAGTCAAGTAATGGTCAAAAACATCCCAATTAAAACAAAACTTGCTTTCATATCAGGACTTGATAGATGGTACTTTAAATTAAATGAGTTGCATATCTCAATTTAGACTCTTCTACTCTGACCTCAAATAACCCTTTTATCTATACCACTTACCAGGTCCCTGGCCTCATATTTTGTGACCTTTAATAGTACATATTCCATCTTAGCACTTGCCTTTTCTGGTCTTCTAGAGAATAATAGAACATTCATACCTTTTTAGTTCATATAAAAGGAAATTGGTACTAATCTACATATCATAACTTTGCCAAGTTTTATTTAACTGACATCCAAATGACTAATAACAATCTAAAACATTGTCTTCCAAACCTATTTCATAGTTACCTGGAAATATTTTTGAAAAGACATATTCTTGGGTCTTTCTCCAAATATCCTAAATTAGAATCTTTGAAGTGGACCCTGGAAATCTTTATTTTAATGTTACCTAGGTGATTCTTGTTCACCTATATCAGCATCTGTTCAGAGACTGATCTTAAAGAGCCACTATTTTAAATAAATATGTGACATAGGCAAAAAAAAAATAGAAACCTTATGTTACTTGGGACAAGTGAAAGAAGTTACAGTGATTTGTCACAATTAATCAGTCAAAAATAAATTGGTCATTGGCAACTAAGGTTGATATATTTCATTCATTTGTTTGAAAACATTCATTTACCTCTGTGACATACAGTAGAATTACATAAATGTAGGAGATAAAGTCCCTACCTTTGTAAAACGTACGTTCTAGTAAAAGAGACAAATTATAAGCAAGTAAAAATATAAATGTATAATTATAATAATAACAAGGAGTATAAGAAGAATAAAAGAGGGCATGAGTATAAAAAATGTTAGAGTAGGATAAGGAAAAAATTAGACAGAATAGCCAGAGACTACCTCTGTGAGAAGGTAATACTTCCACATAAAAGGATAAGCCACTCAGAGATCTAGAAAAATTAAGTTCCAAGTAAGTGCAGGTATAAGTTTGCGTTTTTAAAAAAAATTTTTTAAGATAAACTTCACAAAGGAAAATAATAACACATTAAAGAAAATGTGTAGCCGGGCTCGGTGGCTCAGCCTGTAATCCTGCACCTTTGGGAGGCTGAGGTGAGTGGATTGCCTGAGCCCGCAGGTTCGAGACCCACCTGGGCAACTTGGAGAGACCTCATCTTTACAATAAATAAACAATTAGCTGGGCACGGTAGCGTGCGCCTGTAGTTCCAGCTACTTGGAAGGCTGAGGCGGAAGGATTGCCAGAGCCCAGCAGGTCGAGGCTGCGGGGGCCGGGAGTGTGCCACTGCACTCCAGTCTGGGCGACGGAGTGAGACTGAAACTCAAAAAAAAAAAAAAAAATGTGTTATTGTGCATAGATTCCTAATGGGTAGTTTTCTTTTGTCAGGCCACAGCAATATACTGCAGATTCCTTGTTTGTAATGTAACTGATTGAATACATTTTGTTAATATGTCTTTATTCTTATGCTTTGCTATTAAAATTTTCATAACACTTTCCAAAAAAAAGATTAATTTGGCCATCCAGAAAGAAAATAGTATATGAGGCTGAAGAAGCAGACAAGATCAGATAAAGAGTATTTTATCTGAACTCCTAGGGAACCTGCTCAATATTATATACTTTTTTTAAAAATAAGGATCACTTTCACAACTTCTTATTAACTTGAAACTACTTGTTTATTCACATGTTTAATTATATATACCTTTATCCCACTTGATTCTACCTTGTTCCATCAAGGATCTAATGTACAATAATTTTAAAAAGCACAAAGAAATAAAAGAAATATGAATTTTAAAAGGAAAAGTAGAATGAAGATTTGTGTATCATAAGATCTTAAGCTATTATTAAATAAGCCCTCAGGTGGGCTCAGTGGCTCAGCCTGTAATCCCGCACCTTTGGGAGGCTGAGGTGAGTGGATTGCTTGAGCTCGTGGGTTCGAGACCCACCTGGGCAACTTGGCGAGACCTCATCTCGACAATAAATCAAAAAATTAGCTGGGTTCGGTGGTAGCGCATGCCTGTAATTCCAGCTACTCAGAAGGCTGAGGCGGAAGGATCGCCGGAACCCAGCAGGTCGAGGCTGCGGTGGCCGGGAGCGGCCACTGCACTCCAGTCTGGGCGACAGAGTGAGACTCCAACTCAAAAAAAAAAAAAAAAAAAAAAAGCCCTCGAGGTGTTATGAATGGGAAAGGAATGTTAAAAGAACTAAAAACAAGACAGAGCAGTACAGATACTCCAACACTGTTAATTGATCAACCTCCACACCTGCTTTTCCGGGTCACTTTCTCCTCAGAGCTTGACCCTCTTACTGCAAGTCATTCACACTCATGTTTATAATGGATTAAATGTTTATGCTCCCTCAAAATTCATATGCTGAAACCCTAACCCCCAAGGTGTTGGTATTAGGAGCTGGAGCTTTTGGGAGGTGATTAGTTCATGAGGGCAGAGCCCCCAGGATTGGCATTAGTGCCCTCATAAAAGAGACCCTTTGCCCTTCCATCACCTGTGTGAGAACACGATGAGAAGACACCACGTACAAACCAGGAAGTGGGCCTCACCAGACGCCAAATCTGCTCGTGCCTTGATCTTGGACTTCCCAGCCTCCAGGAATGTGAGAAATAAATTTCTATTGTAATAAGCAAATTAGTTTATGGTATTTTGTTATAGCAGCCCAAACAGACTAAGGCAGTGCTCTTTCACATTTTTCAGAGAGTAAAATTATTCCAGCATATATTGTTTGAGCTCCTACTGTGTACTTGAGTGGTTGGTTTTGTCAAGACATAGAGACAACTGCAAGAAACTCTGGAAAGTGGGGCAAAAAAGTAAAAGAGGCTGTACCACAGAGTGTCATCATTTGCCAGGCGGAAGACTTTTGAAGTATTTTGAAATATAAATGGTTCCCAAACAAGGAAATGAGTTTAACTCAGCAGCACGTTGGATGAAAACTTCTGCCACAGAAGCGAGGATGAAGAGTTAGTATATCAGTTGTGTTAGATGATCTGCCTCTGTTGAGGGTGATTAACCTCAGAGCCCACCTTCAGTTACAACTAATCAGAGAGCAGCTGCAGGACAACCCTGGTTTGACTGACTATAGCTAGGAGCATCCTTAGGCCTGGAAAGTGTCCCTATATGAGGCTGTCTTCTTAGAGAGGTCTAAATGAAGTCTTATAGAAGAACATATAACCGTCTTATTCTATGTTAGGTTTGTCAGTGTCCTTCTAGTCAAAGACCACAGGAACACCTATAGATGAACAAGTTGTGTTTATTTCTCATTAGTAAGGGATAACATATCTTATGGAAGAACCCTTGGGTGTCTCAGCAAGAAGATTTTTATAAAGAACTTGTTGCAGACTGAAAAGAAGCCATTTTGGTTATAGTAAAGTAGTTATTTAGAAAAGACTTAGAAACTTGTATTAAGCTGAGTTGGGCTAAACGTAGAAGCTGTTTGAATTTAAAAGTTAAAATTTTTCCTTGTGCCTCCTTCACTGTTCTTGGATCTAGTAACTATTGCTGGTACTGAAGGGAACACAACCATCTTCACTGAGCGCCCTGATAAGCAGTAAGCACACACAAAAAGACTGCATGTCCCCGGAAAAGCCCCCACTGGACATAGATAAGAAGTGGACTCTGCCGAAACTTTCTATAACCCAGACATGTACCCATTAGTCTCTAAATGACAACTGCTTTTTTTCATGTCTTTGTATTAAATGCGTAATGTTTAATTAAGCCTTGTGAACCAGAACTCCCGGAAGACACAAAAAACTGTGACCAACTAGAACGTACGCAGCCCCAAAATGCTCAAGGTAATTGTAACTTAGAAGAATGATAGTATTGATATAATCTGAGCACTGGTTTGTGACAGTAATTGTTTGGGATCTAAATCCTGATTAAGAAAGAAACTAAATAACGGCCATAAGACACGTAGTCATTATTACTCAAAAATGGGGAAAAGATAAGAAATTATATGTTTTATTATGAGTACTGTATGGAAACTCTGCTTAAATGAACACGTTTTTGATGGCTACACAGCCTGTTCCCTGATCCCACGGTATCAGAATAAAACTCTATACTTCTCCCAACTTTCTGCCTCTCGTATTTGATTGACTGCAAGGGAGGCAGCTGATTGTTGGATCGGGCCATAACAAACTTATTATAGGATTTGAGCTTTGGTTGAATGATTGGGAGAGAGTTTAAGGAAGTGGCAGTTTGCTCAAAGACTATGTAGCTTAACAAATCTAATCTATAGAGAAAGCAGACAAGAAGGAGAATAAAGTTGTAGCTGGCTTTTTTTTTTTTTTAAGTAACAGTCATTCATTTTAACCAAGAGAGAAGAATGTTTGACATTTTATGGGTGGCACAGTAATCTTGATTTTGTCTATGCTTAGACAAAATTATGAAGCAGCTTGGTTTTGTCTTATTTTATCATCAACTCAGAGTGAACTTGACTGAGATTGTATCTGTAAGACTATGTTCAACAAGAAATTAGCTACGTGTGTCTGACTAGTTTGAATAACCTTGCAGTTTAGCTGTGATGTCAGATCAGTTATGAATGTCAGGGGCTGCTTTTACCCACTAAGGTTTGCACAATTTTTCACTGGCTACATGGTAAGCGTAGTTAGGGGAGTTAGAGATAGTATTATTGGTTGGTTGTTGAAGTAATCAACCAACTGATTAATATTTAATTTCACCTGTGAGAGGTTTTAAGCAAGGAAAGGATATTGTTTCAACTTGCATAGAATAAACCACCAGAAATTAAGGCATGCCCCAAGGGAAGTAAATAACAAGCATCGGGCTGTCTCTTGACAAGAAGTAAATGTATCCTCAAAGATCAAGGTAAACAAGACAACTTACTTCCCAGCAAACAAAACCAGGGATCCTTATCACAGTTTCCATTGTTTTTCTCCTCTCTGGTATTGCCAAAAAGACTACCACTTCTAAGGAAATTTTTGAGAAGATCAGTTTGGGACTCCATTTGCTGATACAGGTAAAAAGGTGATGTAGCGTTTAGACAAATAGAAAAACTATAATAATACTATAATAATATATATAATATAATAGCCTCTATTCACAGCTTTCTTTGAATTTACTACAATTGTGCACATACAAACAATGCTCTTACTGGACAGGGACTGGTCAAAGTACTTCCACAGAAAAGTCCTTTAAAGAAGGCATAATTATGCCTATTTTATAGCTAAGGGCATTAATAGAGTATTAATTTCCTATGATGAGTAAAGAAAGCTCTGAACTCTAAAATTTAGGGCCACCTACCACTTGTCCCAAACTGGAAAATACATTTTAATGTATTTTCTAGAAACAGATTACCCAGTGTTACAGATGTGGCAGTCTTCTCACTAGAAATGCACAAGCCAGAAGAGGGAAGTGTGTTGTCATAAGAACTCTGAATGGACTATGGAGAGAGATCAACAAAGTTAAGTCCCAAGACATATCATATTGAACTTTGAGGGACACTTGAAATATCAGAGAAGTGTCTTTATCAAAGAGGGAAAGAAATGCAACATTAAAAGACTACACCAGAAAAAGAGAGTTCCTGAACATTAACTAAACCATTCAATGAACTGAAAATATTTTGAGATAATGGTACCTCAAAATATAATCTTTTAGAAACAACCTGCAAAACACCTTGATTAAAAATGCCCAACCACAACTAGTAACAAATTCTTCTGACTTACAGAAAACTTAGAGACTTTTCCCTGAGTTGGTACTAAACCTATAGACCTAAAAGCTATTTTTTTTAATTTATAGAATTTAAAGTCCATAAGTCCACCTTCACCATGTTATAGTATATTTTCCTTTGAGTCACTCCTTACATTCATTAGCAGTTAACAAACTCTCATGGCTCAATATTCGTTAACAGCCCCATTCAAAGAACAGAGTTTGGGGGAAATGGGTTCTTCAGAAAAGACCTTATTCTGAATATTTTCCTCTGAATGAGAATAGCATAAAATAGTGTTAGATATATTTATGTCTGGTTTAAGTTCACCTTCAGAAAATGAATATTTGGTGTCTAAAACTTAATTTTAGTCCCTTAAAATCAAAAAGGTAGGAGAAGAATAGGTATTTAGAAAATTTGGACAAGGACCAAAATTTGTTTTTCCCACAGCTGACGCAGTAAAAAGCCTGAGGTAATATAAGTTGAAACATAAGCTAGCAGGATATTGAAAATTTTTATTGACCATATAGGTCCCCCTGTCATGGAAATCAGATAAAATCCAGAGCTAGATCCAGGTAAAAGAGGGAAGATTTGTACACATTTTACAAGTTCTAAATTGTTAATCAGTTTGTTAGTCCCCTTTCATTAATTTTCTTCCTCTCCAAAAATATTTTTTTAAAAAAGAGCAATACATTTTAATGAACTACCTTCTTCCCTGGCACTTTCCAACATTTATCCAGAGGAGTCTTATTGTTTTTTGATTATTCCAAAATAGATCATTCTCAGACTACTTGGAAAAATATGTCAACTTTCAAAAATAATTTTTGATTGATGCTATATTCTGGAAAATGGAAAAATAGATATTTTTCATATTCCTTATGCATACTCTATTTATGAATGGCCATAGTAATCCCATCCAAAATCCTAGTGCAGTATTATTTAACAAAGGTGAAGCAGGATGGCAGTAGTGGGAATCTGCCTGGGGAGAGGGGGCACACCTCATCAACAAAGGTACCTGCATAATGAACATTTATATACCTAACCCTGAATTGTACCCCACATCTTTAAAATAAAAAAATTAAAAGTTAAAGAAAAAAACAAAGGTGGTGGTTATTGTTTTTAACTCAGAAAAACATAAAGCTATTATGCGAAAGTATAATCACCTTAAAAAGTCATTCCATTTTGAGATGTTCCCACGCAGTGATTGGGAGAGGAAGCAAAAAATTCAAAGTTTTTTCTTCTTTTCAAGTTTCCTGCTAAACCTATCTTAACATTAGATCAATAATATCAGGTTCTGCAGCTTCTATAACTAGTTTAGGAAGCAATGAACTTTGCAGGTTCATATTCCCAACCCAGATAATCAAAGACCTCTTTCAACAAGACAAAACTAATGCTATCCCTCAGCTGTATCTACCATTGATGGCTGAGAAACTGTTTTGGCAAAAGTGAAATGCAGCTACCTGCAATTAATTTAAATGTTTTATTCCTTAAATTGGTAGATTGCATTTCCAAATTACATGAATCAACTATTTAGCTCACTCAAAAGAGAAAAATGATTCCAAATAGTCCCAAGGGTCTCCTGTTCCACAGTCACACAATTAGAGTCAGTCTTGCCCATATGTATTGCATGGGTGTGACCTTTTTCTGAGAACTGACAAAATGCATGTATTCATTGTTTTTATTGTTTTTTGAATATTTATTGAACACTTTTTAAGTACAAAGCAGCATGCTAATTCCCAATCACCCCTGGTAAAGTAATTTCTCAGACAAATTGATTTCAAGTTATGATAAAATTCCATTTGAAACTTGCTATTCAGGAAGATGCTTTTGATTGAGTCAATTCAAAGAATTCTCTTTTGGTAGATGGATAAGGAAAAAGTCAGAGTTATCATTTTTAAAAAATGGTCTAGTTTAAATCATAAGGCTGATCACAAAATTCATTCAGATGGATAATGAACTTCCTAAAGGGGTTATAAATTACATCATGCATTAAAATGTTCTCCTCAACCAGGTTTGTGGACAGTTTTCTTTCTCACTTCTAGAATGCTCTGTCTTGGGAGAAGAGTTTCGGTGTAATCACCTGCTTTAAAAAAAAAAAAAGAAGTACTGTCAAGAAAAGTAATATTACCAGTGTAATATTATCAAAACAAAGAAAAAGAAAAATTGTTAAAATGCAGTTTTTATACAAGGGGAGAGCCAAAACACTGCATTTATTTATAGAAAATTGTATATTTATGCTTGCATGTTTAAACTTCAGTCACCTTCAAAGTACTCTCCATGTGATACAATACAACAATTGAGATGCTTTTTCCACTGCTCAAAACAGTTTTTGAACTCACCAATTTTGATACTTTTCAGTGCTTCTGCCATTTTTTTGTTTTACTTCTTCCACCACTGGCAAAACATTTCCCTCTAAGGACTTTTATCATTGGGGAAACAAAAAAAAAGTTGCTCATGGTGAGATTGAGTGAATAGGAAGGATAGGGCATGAGAGTCATGTCGTTTTTGGTCAAAAGCTTCTGAGCACTCAGCACTGTGTGGGCAGGTGTGCTTGTAAATCATCATTCATGAAATGGGCAAATGTGTTCAAAGAATCTCCAAAAAAAAAAATTTACTGAAGTTGATGGAGCCTCTCAAAACAACAATAGCTAGTACGCTGATGCTGATGGGGTACAGCACTTACATAGCAGAGAAAGCCAGTACTACAAGGGATCTAACCTTCTAAAGATAATTTCATTTTTTTGTTTTTTGTTTTTGTTTGTTTTTTGGTCTCTCCAGGCTCTAGTAAATACAGACCTTAACTTTAGAAAAGAATATTGACAATAAAAACTCTCATATGCTTCCAATGGGAGTGAAAAATAATGCAATAATTATAGAAAACAATTTAGCTTAATCTTCCAAAGTTGAAAATACACACATCTTAGGATCCAGCCTATAAAAAATGCATGAACATGTGAAGCTGGAGAGATAAACTATACGGTCATAGAAACACTACTCCGAACAGTCCCCAAATGGAAATAAACCAAAATATTCTTCTGTAGTAGAATGATAAAATAATAATGCCTTATTCACAAAATGTAATAATATATGGTATATAAATTGATGAACTACACATACATGCAACAACATGAAACTCACAAAACTAACTGTTGAACAAAAAAACCACCCAAAATTTCATTTATGCAAAGTACAAAAGCAGGAAAAATCAAATATCTACTAATGTTAGCGATGTATAGATATTAAATTATAAAGAAAAATAAGGACTCCATTCTGGGCGACTGAGTGAGACTCCAACTCAAAAAAAAAAGAAAAGAAAAGAAAAATAAGGAATTGACTATCATAAGGTTACAGTGTTACAATAGTGTTACAATTCAAGGAATAGAGAAGCAGAAAGTAACAGAGACAGAGCATTTCAGGAAATTCTAGAGTACAAGTGATATTCTATTTCTTAACCTCAGTGCTACTTACACTGGTGTTTCTTTTACAAACCTTTATTAAGCTGTATATTTATATATTATGAATGTTTCTATACATTTTACAACAAGGAAACTTCTGTGTCTATCCACTGATACTGACTTCTAGTATATTTTACAGACCAACAAGGACTGTCCAACAGGACAATATTTCAGGACTAGACAAAAAGAGTCACTAATGATATATATATTTATTGCATTCTCCAGGTTGACTTAAATATAAATGAGACACCATCTCTCTTTGCACTGCTATCCACTAATGTCTGGTTCTTCCACAGTTCACAGACACATGAAAATCTTCAACACACCCAGCAACTCCAGCACCATCACTGGCTTCATCCTCCTGGGCTTCCCTTGCCCCAGGGAGGGGCAGATCCTCCTCTTTGTGCTCTTCTCTGTTGTCTACCTTCTGACCCTCATGGGCAATGGTTCTATCATCTGTGCTGTGCGCTGGGATCAGAGACTCCACACCCCCATGTACATCCTGCTTGCCAACTTCTCCTTCCTGGAGATCTGGTATGTCACCTCCACGGTCCCCAACATGCTGGCCAATTTCCTGTCTGACACCAAGGTCATCTCCTTCTCTGGGTGCTTCCTCCAGTTCTACTTTTTCTTCTCCTTGGGTTCTACAGAATGCTTTTTCCTGGCAATTATAGCATTTGATCGATACCTTGCCATCTGCCAGCCTCTACATTACCCGACTCTTATGACTGAACGTCTCTGCAACATCCTTGTGGGGAGCTGCTGGGTACTTGGTTTCCTCTGGTTCCTAATTCCTATAATTGTCATTTCTCAAATGACCTTCTGTGGATCTAGGATTATTGACCACTTCCTATGTGACACAGGTCCTCTATTAGCCCTCACCTGTACCAGAGCCCTGGTAATAGAGATGGCTAGTTCTACCTTGAGTTCTCTCCTTTTATTTATTCCCTTTCTCTTCATTGTGGGGTCCTATGCTCTGGTCCTGAAAGCTGTGTTCAGGGTCCCTTCAGCAGCTGGAAGAAGAAAGGCTTTTTCTACCTGTGGGTCCCATCTGGCTGTGGTTTCTCTTTTCTATGGCTCAGTGATGATCATGTATGTGAGTCCAGCATCTGAACATGAAGCTGGAATGCAGAAGATTGTGACTTTGTTTTATTCTGTGATTACTCCACTCATCAACCCTGTAATATACAGTTTGAGGAATAAAGACATGAAACATGCAATGAAGAAATTCCTGGGTACACAAAATTGAGTCTCTGTTTAAAAGCTTTTGAGAGATAGAATCTGTTTTTAACTTCTTGTTAAAAATAAAACTAATTGATATCACTTAGAAAATTGTTCATACTGTTTCTGAACTTCATACGCTGTAATTTTTTATTCTATAATATGTAGGGCTATAAGGGGTCTCAAAAATATATCTCCCCAATTTTACAAATGATAGAGCTGTAGATTGATAGAGCTGTAGACTGAAAAAAATTGACTAGTGTCTGTTGGGGGAAAATAATTTAAGATAAATTTCCTGCCAACCCAGAAAACATCTTTACAAAGGAGAAAAAGAAAGAAAATAGTTTTGGTATTGAATAAGCATTAAATCAGAATACAATGTGCATCACAATCTACTAAGAGACTGTAAAGACAGAAAGACGCCTCACCATTGTATATTGCAAAGCAAACAACCCATTACATTACACACACGTTCTCAAGATAAACAATAACTAGTCCTCAAAAGGATTTGACAGCACAATTTGTCACACATAATTCATCCTAATTTACCTGGCAATTGAAGTTTAAGGTTAGAGATATGTTTAAGACATATATTGGGGAGGGGGAGGGAACACAACATCAATAAATGTACCTGATCTCAAACCAGGCAAAGTAGAGACCAAAGGGAGGCCCAAACTTTATCTGTACTATGTCCACTTGTATACCTAATCCTGATTTGTACTCCACATCTTTAAAACAAAATATATTTTTAGAAAGACATACATAGAATATAATTATGATGATGCAATTTATCTTTATGTATACTAAATGGTCAGACATGGGTTCACATACATTACCATACGGTTTCGTAGAACAGAGACATCACCATTAAGCGACATCCACATGTGGAAAAGGGACTTTTTTATAACTAACTGCTGAAAGCACCTGAAGCATAGCTTTTAGCCTCAACGTATACGGTCCAAGGATGTACAAAATACTGAGAATCATGATGAGAAAGTTTACATGGTACATATTCTACAATGTAGCATAGGTATAGGACAAGGCCCATGTGTAGTGAATGCTATAACATACATTCAGATCTTTCCTTCAGGACTGAGCACACATTCCCCCAGGAGCCAGGAGTGTAGTATACTAATGACTGGCTCACAGCTGAATCCCTTTCTAGGAATTGTATTAAGCCAAAGGGACTAGCTGTGTCATTGATTATCCCTCCTCCCTCAGTGCTGCTCACACACATGCAACAGTTGGTCCATGCCAGTATACAAAGGCCTGACACTTGGTGATAAATACAAATGGCAATCCCAGTTCCAGAGCTCCACATGACATCGGCTGGGACTTTTGCTGCAATGTTATCACAGTTCAACTTTTGCCTATTCCTATTTTCATCACCCCCTTGTAGGTATTGTCCCCAAGAGAAATGTGCAATAGATCTTCTACATACAAATGATAGAGTCTGTTTCAGGAAACTCAGTCTGCAGCACCATTTCACTTAGAAGGAAAATAGGAATTGAGTGTTCGAAAAAACTGAGCAGCCAAGAGAAACACATAATCTACCTCAGAGCCTCGGGCTTGAGGATGGGGTAGTGCAATGAATGGCAGATGACCCAGTGCTGACCAATGTCCATGACAGAGTGGAAGAATCATGCAATTGTACTTTGGGAAAAAGAAGTAGAATGGAAAGAAGCAGTCAGAAAACGACATGGTATTGCTTTCAGAAAGAAAATTGATCAGCATATTGTAGACTGTGCCAGAAACTTAAAATATTATAATAGCTATACCAGCCAGTTCACAATGTGCCTAGGTTCAATTTCAAATTCAGTCATTTGAGAATTGTGCAACCTCAAGTTAGTGACTAAACTTCTTCTAGCCTCAGTCTCCTTCTTACAAAAAGAAAATAAAATATCTGCCCTATCTAAATCAGTCATGGGACATTCAAACATTACTAAGTCCTACACAGATAGTAATTTTGTTGTGATTATAATCATACAATATAGCCTTATATTGGGAATGTCAGCAAAAATTAAACCAACAGGGCTCACTATCAACTTTTAAGTCACTGCTGATTAGGTTTGAACATGTAGTGTCTATAGCTTAATCTGATCTCCTAAACCAATAACTTTAAAGATGGACTCCTAAGAGATAAAATGACATTTTTTAAAAGATATTTCTGCTGCTGGAGTAGTATTTTGTCTTTAGAGTTTGGTTTGTAAAACTGCTTCTAGTTTATTAAGAGGGATACTAATCCATCCTTGTTTAGTCCTATTTACATTTAAATTACCATTGATTTAGTTTAAAAAACTAATATAGATTAATCAAGAAACTAGTGGAAACCTTTAATAAACCATTAAATTCACCACTCTGATATCACATGGACACGATATCAGAAATATATGAATGAACTCATTCTGGTGTTTCTTTGGACTCTCTTTCTACAGCCATACTCTCTGTCCAAATTCTTTCAGAGAATATCTACAGGCAGTTAGTGGCATTCACTTAGCCTATGGCTGGGAAGTGAGAATATCCCCATAGAGCGCCTTACTCTAACTAGCAGTTGGCCTACACAGTGCACCAAGGAAAGATACTATCCAAAAAATATATCTAGGGGGGAGGGGTAGGCAAGTGGTAAATGGCATTGAAGATCAAATGTCTCAAAAAAAGTTGGAGTTAGAGCCTCATTTCACATCCTAGCTTGGTATAAATGAGAAAGGCTATGAGGTCTTTCAGTCATTTTATTGTCATTCAGTTGTCTGAATATTTTCACAACTTAAGAAAATTTACACATAAATACCTATAACACCTCACTCACTCCAACGCTATCACTTGCTTTATTATTTCCTTTGCTCAAGGAAGAGGCAGATTCTGCTCTTTGTGCTCTGCTCTCTTATCCACCTCCTGACAATCAAGAGGGATGGGTCTATCATCTGTGCTGTCCACTGGGGCCAGCGACTCCACAGTCTCATGTACATCCTGCTTGGCAACGGCTCCTTCCTAAAGAGCAACTGCATCACCTCCACTATACCTAACCAGTTTCTTCTTTTATACCAAGTTATTCTCTGTCACCATCTATTTTATTCACTTTCTACCTTCCAGCAATTAAGGCATTTGGTGGTTGCTTTGCTACCTTCCCAACTCTCCAGAGTTACTACTAGACATCTCTGTGCCAAGTTATTATTTGATGAATATTTGGTTTCCACTGATTTCTAATTTCACATCAAAACCTTCTCCAAAAATGAATTTGGAGGCAAATTTATTGGCCACTTTCTGTGGGATCCAGAGCTTTGCCAGGTCTCACCTGACCCTCAGCACCTGTGATTGAGCTCATCTACTCTTCCATGAATTATTTGTTCTTATTTATTTCATTCCTTGACCTCTTAGAGCCTTATGTGCTGGTTCTGGGAATTGTAATGAGGGTCATGACGCAGATATGCACCAGAAGGCTTTCTGCACCTGTGGCTCCAACTTGGTATTGGTTTCACTATTTCATGTTGATGGTGATACCTAGTCAATCTTCACAGCAGAAATTTGGAATGCAAACAATCATTGTATTATAATAGTTAACACTTTATTCCTAAACCAAACAACCTATGGTCTTAAGAATAAAGGGACAAAAGATGCACTAAGAAACGTTATAATAACCTAAAATATAGTGTCTTTTAAAAGAAACCAAATTGACCCTTCCTTCTTCAGAATAACTTGCATAGTTCACAAATAAACCATATTTGTACCATTAATTCTATATGCCAAGTTTTCTTAAAGACATATTTCAAATACAGAAAAAGTTTTGTACACAAAAGGAGCTAACACTTCTTAAGTACTTGCCACCTGTCCAGGCATTGTTCTCAGCCATTTAGGGGCTTGCATGCTTAGTCTTGCAATAATTCTATTAAAGAGACACTACTGATAGCTTCATTTTACAAATAAGGTAACTAAAGTCTAGATTGATTAAGCAAATTATCTAAGCCTAAACAGTTTGTGAGTGATGAAACCAGGATGAACTAAAGAATTCGGACTCTAGAAACCATACTACTGAGACTTCTGGACAAGTTGGCAATGGAACAGGTCCGACTGTGAGAGTCTTCACAAAAGCGAGTGTTCATAAAGACTCTGGGTGAATGGGTGTGTGCCGGTAGGTGAGTGAAATTCCGTCTGAGGGGAGGCTCAGGTTCATCCACCGGGGGCTCTCCTCCAGAGATGACTGCAACCCCCACCGCCCTGAGACTGGAGTCCCAGGTGCAGGATCATCTGCCATTCTCAGGGCTTTCTTGAGAGGAGGCAGCAGAGAACAGCCAGCCCTTAGCACCACACTGGTCCATGCCATCACATGCGGCAGCAGACCTGGCAAGAGAAACCGGGTAGTGGAAATCTGGAATAAAGTTCCCACGCTGGTGACGGGACATGGACAGGCACCATCTTCTCAGTCCCAGTAGGAGGCAGAGACTTCCATTGTCCGGCCCAGCTCTGCCCAGCCTCCATCTTGGGACCCAGAGGCTATTATCTCATCAGACTTGGAGAGACAGATGCCCCTCCCCCATGCTGGATCAGACACAGACACGTCAGATCTGAGTGGGATACTTGATAGCAGCAGCAGTGATTAGGATGAGTCGGCATCTGATCCATCCTCCTCCCACAATAGTCCATGGGGCATCTGACCCACCCTGAGAGCAACCCTACCAGCCTGTGCTGGGAGCAGAGGGGAGGGGCTGGAGACCAGAGCTGTCCCTAAGGCGGTAGCCTGAAAGGAACCTGAACTCACAGAAACTGCCAGAGAGCGAGTTTTTTGTTTGTTTGTTTGTTTGTTTTTTGTTTTCTGTTTTTTGTTTTTAGATTGTTCTTTTCTTCTCATTTTCTTTCTGTTTTTGTTTACATTTTTGTACTTGCTTAGTTTTTGTTATCTTAATTTTTTTTTTTTAGATTTTCTATTTATGTGTGGGTATTTTTGAGGGAGAGTACACTAACAGGAGGGGTTTTGTATGTTTGTATGATTGCCTGTATGTTTTTGTCTTTTTTTGGTTTTTTCTGTCTTCATCT